GGGGGGGGGGGGGGGGACTCAGAGGTCTGACCGAGCAAAAGTAGAGGCAGAGATGGGATCTTCCAGTTACCCAGGATTCATTGCAGGTTAAACGTGAGATTTAAAGGATACGGAAAAAAACTCAGGGTCCCAGTGTTGCCCCGTGTCCTGATTCAGCTGAGAAAAGTCAATAATGCTATAGCTCCAGATCTTAAGGGGTAATGCTATCAGAAAAGTGTGAGCTGCAGATGGGACCGCTGATTAATCTTTTGGGGACAGCTTATCCGCTATGTGCCCTAAGGGTGGCGTGGAGGTCACTGCCCACATCTATATTCAGCAAACAGCAACAAACAGCAGGAGCCATTTGTCATCTGTACTTTCTACGGACATTGTTCTCCAGAAGTGCAACTATGTTGGCTATTTTTTATTTTTTTTTAAGGGGGTCGGGGAATAACCTTCATTTTTACCGATACAAGCGTTTTGCCCTTTTCTGCATCTGTTTCTGAAAAACTACTAAAAAATCTGACATACGTCCATGTAAAGAGATTTGTGACAAAGCTGACCTGTTACGGCACTCGAGGCTAAATACAATTTGATTGACTGATATATTGATTTATCGATCAATTACGTAATTAAATGAAGCACAGGAAGTGTCGGGAAGGGTGACCCCCCAACTGTAAAAATAAATAAATAACTAAATAAATAAAAAAGGACAGGGATCGATTTAAATGCATTTGTGCACAGCAAGATGCACTGGGCATTTAACAAGCCAGGGAGACGAGACAGGAGAAAGCCAGGCTTGCAGGAACAGGAAATGACACGTTGAGCAGGGACACCAGGAGCAAACTGAAGCAAATCTGGATCTTTATGTCAGACTCAACAGCAAGGTGGAAGAAAACACTGTTACAGGAATAAAAGTGACCTGTACAAATGGAGCCTGAGTATCAAACATAAATCACATAAATACATATTTGAAAATAAGATTTGTCTGTTTAAATGTTTATAAAACTTTCAATTTCTTTAAATTTTTACAATTTTAGTACTGAATCCAGTTATTCCTCATTCTTAGGCATATTTTGGTATCAAAAGAAGGTAGAAAACAAATCAGTATAGTAATTATGATCACTATTATGTGATATAGTAACTTTAGTAACTTATAGTAACTTTAGCTGAGGCTACTCCAGACCCCAAAGTAATATCACATACTGCTTAATTAGGCACACAATGCAACTGAGCCAACACAGAAGCAGACGACACAAGCATCATCTCCGGTTCTCGGGGCGGTTCTGAGTGGTTCCAGCTTCTGGGCTGGAGGGTCCAATTCAGGGTGACCCGTGTGGCAGACAGAAAGTGGATAATCGGGTCCGCCCGGCACCGTGGGTAACTTCAGTCGCGTCATTTCCCTTAAACTGTAAAGTATAACAGTAACCTCACAGAGTGGAGGCACTAAGGGCCGCGAGCCGGTGCCCGCCCCTTTAATCAGCACTCTTTTTAGTCCCCACAGTGGTGCAAAGAGGGCTCTGTGCAGCACTGGCTAATGGAACAAGCGCTGTCATGTCTTGGCAAGATTAAAAGGCTTCTGGTCCCGTCGCTGCCGCGTCCCTCTGCTGCCCCCCCCCTCCCCCACTCAGAAGCAGCGGCGGACACGTGCGAGCGGCGTGGTCACGTTTGCCCACCCCCGCGGCCATGCTGCTGCTCTTCTCAGAGCATTTGCTTATTTTATGTTCGCGCCTGATTAGGGGGTTCGGTCAGAGAGCGGGGCAGTGGTCGGGGTGAATGAGGAGTATTGACACTAGCGGTGAGCCCAACCACCCTGCCCCCTCTCCCCACCCCGTTGAGTCGTGTGACATCTCTCACACGTCACCCCCTCCCCAGCCTGACCCTGATCTGCGTGACACGCTGTTGAAGATCAGGACACCCCCGCAGTCCTGCGGAGTTCACCTTGGCCCCTGGCCTAAGGTCAGTCAGAGCTTTCCAGAGCGCTCTGGGGGGGGGGGGTTTCCTGCCAGAGGAGCCTCGCTTTGCTGAAAACCGAAATCGAGGGCGTCTGGCCTGAGCGACGATGATCTTTTTATCATTTTGGCAGAGGGCTGAACCCCTGTGACAGACAAAATCAATGGCCACTAAGTTAAAAATAAAAAAAGACATTTTCCACATGGAACCCATACAAAGTAAGGGTCTATCAAGAGAGATTTCACCACCAGGTATTTTGACATGTATGATTTTTTTTCCCGAGTACGGCTGCCTTATGTCCTGGCAGAGGCTCCAGAGCCCACAAGAAGAGGTTAGAAAAAGGATGGATTGATGGATGGATGGATGGATGAGCCCATCTAGGTTTCCAGCAAAGTATGAGGTGCACTAAAAATAAATTGTGCATTAGACTTCAAAGATAAAACCTAGCTCATGCTTTAATTAATCAAATTATACCCTTCTTGTAAGTGAATAATACTTGGTACTTGAATGTTTAAAATGTCAATTCTAGATTTCACACTATTTCATTAAAGTAATGCCACCATGGCCTCACAGAAACAACGGCGCATGCTGAAAAGGTTTTTACAAAATTGATTTCTATAAACCTCTTCATCTTGCATTAATATAAGTAAAACAAGTTAAGAAAAATTGCAGATTTGACCTCTCCATGCGTGGTGCCATGGTCTGCCCTCCTTTTATGATAACATTTCCCGGCTCCTCTTGTTATGTAAGTGCGGCGCCGATGAGTCATCTGTTTTTGGACGGAGTCCTGACGTTAATCTGCCGCTCGCGAGTGTCTCGGAGCTCCGCCGAAGACGCGGGTCTAGCGGGGCGCGGCAGCCGCCGGTCCCCTCCGGGCACACGGAGATCAGAGGATGCACAGGGCGAATCGGAGACTGACTGCAATCCGATCAGCGCGTGTTAAAAAACTAATTTAAATGTCTCCGGCATCGTCTTTATGCTCAGAAAAAAGACAGCACACGTTCACAGAGTAATACACCGTTAGGTAAAATATTGCGCACCTTAAGATGCACTGAACGATCTGATTCGGAAATGTGTTCATATTAATAGCTATATATGATCTCTCTCTCTCGCCATATAGCCTATAGGTCAATATGTATATGTGTGCGTGAGTGTATGGGTTGTATATACTGTATATATACAACCAAATGTCCCCACAAAAAAACCCTGCTATTTTGGCACTGCAGTGGGGACTGTTCCCCACAAGGGGAAACTCGATTTCATAAAAATCTGTGACTGCGATCAATAAACTAAAAATGTCAATAGTGATGTATTTTGTTTGGTTACTTATGGTTTTGATTAGGACTGGGTAGGAATTAAGGTTGTGCTTGTTGGGATTAGGGTTTTATTGCCCATGGAAATGAAGAGAGGGTACCCACAAAGATATGAATATAAATGTGAGTGTGTATGTATTAGGTTTATATTACATTGTGGGGACTAAATATCCCCCACAATGTGATAAAAAAAAAAACATGTTATTTTAATGTTAACCATTTTCAGATCTCCACAAAGATCTGTGAATGCAGCCTGAAAAGTAAAAATGCCAAAAGTCTCGTATTTTGTTTGGTTACTTATGGTTAAGGTTAGGGCTGGGTAGGGGTTAAGGTCCTCATGTTGGGATTAGAGTTTTAGAAATGAATGGAGAGTCCCCACAAATATATAATTACAAACCTGTGCGTGTGTGTGTGTGTGTGGATTTAAAATGAATGATCTCTACATGTAGTTGATAGTGATCTGTTTTTATTTCTCCAAATAGTTTAGGTATAGCTACTTTCTCGTTGCTTTACTGGCTTTCCCCCAAACACCCCAAGGAGCGTTTGGAGAAGTTCGCGTCTGGCTTAATAATAGGGATTCCCCCCCCGCCCCGCCTGCCCTCTCAGGAGGCACCACCTTCCCGGGTGACAAACAGGGACCAGCGCAGGTTTCTTTCCACATCAACAAGAAGCCTCACAAGCAAAGCCTCATTCCGCCACAGTGTACTCAAAAAGCAAGGCGAACAGTCAGCAGGTCCACGACACGTACGCACGATATAAATACAATAGGCACAGAAAACAACGCAATACATACACAATCAAAAATGAATCAGTCGTGATCCTCTGTTAAAATGCTAAACGTGATCGCAACGGATAAAAACCATTAGAAGCCAAAAAAAAAAAATATATATATATATATACGAAAATGATGTGTGACAACGATTTGCACTTACGTTAGTGAAATCTTGCAAGGAGAGAAATAAACTAGACAAAAAAAAAATCGAACGAGCCACAAATGAGGGCTAAAGCAAGATGGTGTAAATCAAGTTAAAACGGCACGATGCAGCAGTGACACAGAAAGTGTAGGGGGTAAAAATAAACGCTTACCTTCCTCAGTCATTGTGTGATAATATTTTAGCTTTCCATATGTCCCAAGTTCTACAACATCACAGCAGGAGACAAGTGTAAAGGTAACAAGACACAGCAACGGAAAACCGAACATGACAGAACAAGAGCACATTTTTAACATCACATACATTTTACTAGAAAGTATTCTCTCTCAATGCAAGACTCCACCAACATAAGTAAAGAAACAATAGCAATGGAAATTAACATATGCATTTTCGGAAAATGGAAACGTATTATGAACGTATTGTAAAAAATGCCAGAGAAAAATTGGTCTGTAAGTCCCAGTTCTACTTTAGCAACACATGTTAGACTGGTGTAAGACACCATTATACAACAATACTGGCGCTCATTGCCTGCGCTACTGAAATCCATCCAACAAACACAATTTTAATAATCAACGGGGGAAAAGAGCCATATTTTTGAACATTATATAATAATGTCTGCATAGAGTAGGCCTATTATTTTCTAAAACACTTCATATGAAATTTCAAAAAGCAGCAAATTACCCACTTTAGAGATTTTTATTATGATAATGAGAAAGGAAAAACGGAAAAGGAAACCGGGTTTATTCGGTGATAATGCTGGTGAGTGTGATGCGGGCGGCGACATGTGCATCATTCTAGCTCGTGTCACCAAATCTGTCTGGGGGGAAAAAAATAAGAAAACGCTGCTGTGGAGCAGATCGGCTCAGCTATATGCGGGCCGTGCCGGTGGCACAATGTGTTTTTTGCACCTCCGTCCCCGTCATCTTCACAGACCTCATCTTCTGGGGTCTTGTGACAATGCTCTGTCGTCGCAGGGAGCGAGCCAGGCTGCGGTATACGTTTGAAATGCAAATGAACACGGGCGAAGACAGAAACACGTTGCAAGGCAAGATAAAAATCGCCGTCTGTTAGATAAGCCATAAAAAAGCATAAAAATCCAGAAAAGGGATCAATTTTGGCTGCACTTGTCACACACCAAACCTGCACTGCTGGTAGTGTGGGGATTTTAGCACAGTGTTGCTATTTAAAAATCCGGAGCGAAAATGAAACACTTCTGTAAGCGATGATTTTCTTCCCGCGATGTACGCAAGCAGAAGCAATCAGGCAAGCATTGAGGATGAAGGGTAACAGATGTGCTCCTCTTTGACATGTGCGGTAATATAAGATGTCAGGAATCATCCCGCTTCACAACAACTCTCAGAAGAGGATCCATATTCAAACTTATACCGTTACAACAGAACAATTGACCTATCTATATGTGGACTACCATCACAAAAAATTACAAAGTTTCTGCCTTCAGGCAGTTGACCTGTTTGCCAATTGGACTGTGACCTTGTTGCATGACCTCTGTGACTTGTTAGATTCGTGAAAATTCCGGTCATGGTTTGCACACTAGCGGATAGCTTTTAACATTGATCAGTGCTCCTGGACCGGGAGAGGTCGGTTTACATAACACAGATAGGGGTAAAAAATGAAGCAGTTCATCAAATGGTTTTATAGTAAAATGCCACGGGCCAGGCTAGATCTGTCAGGCATGGAATTGCGAATGGTGGGATCGTTATTTCGTGTAGGTAATGGGCCAGGGTCAGAACTACCAAGGACCCTCGATGGTTGTATCCCATTTAACACCGTCGACAGAAACCAGCGACTGGAAAATCATCCTGAAGGGGAAAGAATCCAGTCCGGGGTCAACTGTCTGTCACGGGGGGGTTCCTGTCGATCACCCGATCGATGTTCCCCTATTTGCACTCATAGGCATCCCCGAGCTCTCATTTTAATTACCCCCGACGTCCTCATCTCGCAGCGTTTCGCCGCGGACAAGCGACCTGCTCGCTGCACCCGCGCGCGCCCCCTAATTACACCGGACGGAAGGCGCGAGCGGCGGGGCTTTTTCCAATTAATCGCGAACAGCGGACCGTCTCAAGCCGGGCTGCGTGATGAAGCTCCCTCCGCTCGAATGGCCGCTTTTGAGCTCCGCGCCAGCAGGGAGGGGTCGGCTATTTTGGGATGCGGGCACGCGGCTCTCAGCAGACCGTCACTCCCAGCTGCACGTGCTGCGCACTCGATCAGTCACGAGCGCCTTTGCGCATCCCTGTGCGATCGGACCTGACAGCAGCATGCATCCTGCTGTAGGGCACAGAATAGCCGGATTCCTTTGAGCGCTTTGGAATGCTAGACAGTGTACTTGGATGAGTAAGGAAGTCATTCAATTTAGGAAGAACATTATTATTAGTAGTAGTAGTAGTATTTAAAATGATCATATAAGAGAAAGTCTTGGATTGCATCTTGGTAGTACAGTGTTAGGATCCTCAGTCTTCCTGTTTCCTAACCTAAAATGAATAAATGAACTGGATGAAAAACAGTAAATTTCTATATATATATTTTTTTCTTTTTTCCTTCTAAAAAATTGCAGCTGCCGCACCAGACGATGAAGCAAAACAAGTTCTGCTTCTGAAGGTCACCTCGGGGGTCTTGCATATCAGCCGATACTGGCAGTCTTTGAATCTTTAACCAGAGGCTTCGTCCAGATGGAACAACACAGAAAAAAATACAGAGCAACCATAACTCCAGACGGCGTGTGGCAATATCCAAGCTTCCCGCGATTATCTTAGTCCCCTACGGGAGAGTCCCTCAAACTACTCGCTGAAGCACCATCAATCCGTGGGGGAGAGAAGCTGGTCTGTCTGGCCATTTTCACACGGTCATAGAACGGATCAGGTTTATGCTGCTGGATGCGTCCAAATCATCACTTATCAGCTGCTTGTTCATTTATACACATTGATTAGATCCAGTGCAGCCATTTGTTGTATTTCACTTGTAAAATGTGCTTGTACAATTTTCTACTTTATTTATTCAAACACCAGCATAATTTCATACGTAACAATGTTACCCAAACCATCATAACTCCTGTATATAAGTTAAGCGTCTGTGAAATGTAGTTAAGCATCAGTGAAATGCTATAATGATTATATTGTGAAGTTTAGTACTGCTGTCAAACAAGGAAAAAGATGAACGAGCATCGTAAGACGTTGTTAGTAACGGGTGAGGAGCAGATATGACGGTTAAGGAGAGTCTCGCAGGACACTGGAACAGAGAAAGCTAGATGATGCAATGTGCACACGGGCCCAGTCCAAAACAGTGCGTTCTGGAGGAAAGATGTGGGACAGAACCGTCTCAAGACGGTTCCACATGGTACCGTGAACGGGGAGATGATGTAATCCTTAGGAAAAGATTTTTGGGGGTGGGAAGCCACTTCCAAGCCACGATGACAATGGACAGCTTTGGCATAAAGAACAAACATTTAACTCACCAGAATCGGCAAATTCTGAGGAAACAGACAGGGTCAGAGCAAATAAAGAGAGATAGATAAAGGGAGAGAAACAAAAGTAGATGGTAGTTAAAACAGAAAACAAACACGACTGGATCTCACAGAAACAATCCTTCTGTGTCATGTGGGCTCGTTAAAGAAAATAAAACACTGATATCTGGAAATGCTTGGACTCATTAATTACCTTTAAAATATTTTACTACTACAATTATATCTCTATAGAAGACTTCAGCTACAAACACATTAATTATACAAAGCAAAATGAAGTTTTGCAACAACTGAAAATTTGTAATAACACCAAAAAAAAAAAAAAAAACTTTTCCTGTTTGTTAAAATCTGTGAAGACAGACATCTGTGTTACAGCAGCAGTGCACAGATAAGACCATCACACAATTACAGAAGCCAAAGTCGAGAGTGGCAATCTCTAAACACCTGCCTCCTGGCTCTTCCCAAACTCTTTGGGAAACTTTGGGCCATTAAAAACGGACGGGAAATGAAAAAGTGACAGAAATCCACACAGGTGACACCGTGTGGCATTTCCTGCTCTTTGGCTGCCATCTCTCTATAAGAGAACAGCCTGCAAACCACTTAAAGCTGTGAATCACAGCCTTTGGACGTTGTGAATCAGTCTACAGGGTTCCGTCATGCTGAGGGGACTGAGCGTAACCATTAAGTTATTCTGAGTATTAACAGAATGCTGGGTTTTTATTTCTATAGTGAGTGAGGGAGACATAAGTCAACTGTAAGCTAAATAAATAATAATTCTATCCCTCCCTCCTGTTGTGCAGTGAAACCTGGTTCGTATCACATTCCTCATCTCGAGATTGTAGAGGACAGTTTCGTCACCATTCCATTCATTCTGACGCCGATTCAGAACCACACAAGTTACAGCTCGTCAACTGTTGTAATTGTTTGGTCATTCGCGACTGAATGTAACGTGCTCTGTCAATCATTTGTTGCAACTTTAGATGACAAGCACAAAACTAAACGGAGGTGAGAGAATTTACATGAACAGCAGTAACCTAACATGCCCCTGTGCACTCTTGAGTTGAAACAAGAAAAAAACAAGCTCTTTCAAAAATCTGTTCCCTTCTAAAATTCAGCTAAAATATGCATGACGTGCGTCTGCTTTAAATAGAGCCACTACTACCTTTCATGCTGTGTGCGTAAATTTTCAGGAGGCTCTGACATCTGCATAATGACTGTGTTTTTGACTCCTGCCTTGTTAATGTATCTAAGCAGGACATGAGTGAAATATGCTCTGGCTATGAAAAGCAGACATAAACCACGTTGAAGTATCAGAGAAATAAGTCTCACAGATCTACTAAATGTTTTAAAAACATTAACAAAGCAGTTAGCCTCAGACAGACAGACAGAAAGATAGATAGACAGACAGATAGATAGATAGATAGACAGACAGAGAGACAGAAATATACAGCCAGACACATATACAGACAGACAGAGAGACAGACAGATAGATAGATCGATAGATAGATAGATAGATAGATAGATAGATAGATAGATAGATAGATAGAAAAACAAACTGACAGTCAGAAAGACAGACTTTATTTCTTTACTGCAGGAATAAAAATAATTAATGATTGTGATGTGGAACATATTAAAGACTGTCACCTATAATCGTAAAACAGCTAAATGAATCACTCCCTACTATTGGAGACCTTTACTCCAGGTCCTTGTATGGCTAGGACTGTAAGCAAGGTAAACAGCCAATGAGTTCTGGGGCTGAGCCCCCCCACCCCCTTAGCCTGTCTGTACCTCTCCAGTCATGGTCCACCCAGGACAGAGCCGTGGAACACTTGCCCCATATCTCATACAGACACAATGGTGTGAAGACAACAGCAGGAGAGCCAGAATCCCCCGTCGCCACGGAGACATCGAGATCCGCCGTGTGCGCTTCCTTCTTCGGTTGAGACGCGAACCCTACACGCATCAACAGAAAGGCGCTCTGCGTGGTGACGGAAACTTGCCAGTAAAAGGGAAAGTCAAGTCACTATACATAAACGTCACCTGTCCCCCTCCACTCCCCACCGGGGCAGGTTGGTGTGTTGGCTTCATTATTTATTTCTTTGCATGCTTTTATCTAAAGTGATGTGCCCTCCACCATAGCATTGTCTACAGATCCCGTCAGACATTTAATGGGGCTAGAGTGTGTCTGACCGCACGATAGACACCCTGCTCTGGAAACCACCGTATCCATCATTAGCGAAGATGGACGTGTGAGACAGTTACCAGGAGGCTCAACGGAAGTCCCTGGAGCTTGGCCAGAATCCTGGCCGTAAATCTCGCACCTCCTATCCAATCCAACCGAATTACATGCACTCACCGCCTTAATATGAGGCTTTCCCACCATTACCTAATCAGGAAAAGCTTGATCACTCTGCCCCAGAACAATAACATACTGTAGCGAAATATAACGACTTGTCCTACACATCGATCTGAGGTCAAAGGAACAGCTTTAAGTGTCCGCGGCGTTTGCCTGAAATACGGACACAAACTAGTTCTTTCCAGAATGAATCCGCTTCTCCCCAACTCTGTTAGCTTCTCGATATTAACTTTGATAATCCCTCACTGCGGTCTTCCGGCACGGAAAGACGTAAATCGCAGCAGCGTCTGGGATTACAGGCCGAGGCAGAGACACCAACGTCCGTCAGCATCGCTGGGGATTTGGATCGGCCTTCTAGCATTACGTGTTGCCGTGTCTGCCTCAAGGGTGCCCTTGAGACTTCTGTGGAGGCTGGGATATCTTCATATAATTTTTAAAAAGGAGGGTTCTTTAGTATTAAAACAGGACAGAATGTCACTTACTGCATATGATTCTGGGGCAGTATGGCGGCCCAGTGGGTAGTGCACTGAGTCCAAAAACCTGCAGTTAGGCAGATCTGGCTTCTCTAAATTGCACATGCTGTGCGAGTATATGTCTCCCCCCACCCCGTGCAATCCCTTTCCAGGGGGTTCCCCCTGTGCTACCTCTGATTGACTCCGCCCCATGCTCCTGTACTAGAGAAGTAATTGGATGGCAGACTGACATATTTGGTCGTGCGCATGGTGTCGGGTAGCTGGGACCTCCCTTCACCTGTACCAGGATGTCTATTGATCTCAATATAGCTGCCACTACAACGGATGAGTTCAGGACAACCTGAACTTGGTCATGCAGCATGACTCACATGTCCCCACTTCTTGAGAAGATTTACCCGAATCATGGAGTACGACGGCTGGAATTCCTGGAGGCCGATCCGGCCACAGCCGGCCTACAGGTTTGCTCACACAAGGTGATGTGGCCAACAAGACACGATCACTATGTGCGGCTTTAAAAAGGGTACACCCTGCACTGCTTCTGTAGCAACAGGAGGCAGACAGCTGATTGGCTGTCCCTAAATGTTCCAACTTACAAGTCATCGTAATATCGGCCTGCATCTCTCAACAGAACATCACATGGACACCACCTTCTTGAGGCAACTCAAAGCCGAGGCCATTGAGGCAAAATCGCCAAGCTTCGGGATGCAAATCTTGCCGATTTGGCTCCAACGTTCGTGCTGTGATGGCCGACGTCTCAAGGAACCCGCTTGTATGCTCCTGTGAGCAGACTCATTAAAATTTTGCCATGCACTTTGTTTCACTCTCGGTCATCGGCGGTTGAGAGCGCCCCAATGCTTCCAGGAAACATATTCGCTGCACTAAAACTTGCTGAATTACTTGAGCAATCCACCTGCCGTGTCAGTTTGCAGTCCTTGCGTCCCTCTAATGGGCCTTTGCCATGGATAAAAGTATTCAGCTCTCTGTCAGTGAGGACAGTGGTACATAGAGCTGAAGTCCCATCTTGTACGTGCTCTGAAAATCTAAAGGGACGATCGTAGACACGGAGGAGCACTCCACTGTGATTGGAAGCCCGTAACCATGTTAGCGACTCCGACGTCAGGCGTCGCTTTGGTGCAGGCTGGCAGCCGCTCAAGGTTGGCTAAATTTAAGCAGGGGGGAACAATGAGCATTCCGGCGCAGGATATGCCAGGAAAGCGGCTAACGAGATTAGCCTAGCCTGCCATGCAGGGCCGGCGTAAGGCTGACGGCTCCTGTCGGATCCCGTAGAACCGCGGTATCGCTGCAGCCGCACGGGGGCACCCTGACCTGATTTTATACTCCGCCTTCCCTCCCCCTCAGAAGAATCAGTCCACTGAAAGAGGAACAGTTTTTTTTTACCGTAAGGCACCATCCCCTGATGAAACGTCACGTAAACAAACTGAAGGAAATTACGTTTGCACATTAGAGCTTATACACCGTACAAAGCAATGAAGTGTTCCACTTTCCAAAAACTGCATCCCCTTACACCATGTCATCAGTGTGAAAAGAACAGATTAAATCATCTATTAATGTCAGAGTGCCGTGTATTTATCTGTGCACTTTTGATAAGCAGGGAAACGAAACCTTTGCTTTGCCTCCTGTGTAAGTCAACAAAGTTAAGCGTTGCGTTTATAACACAAAGGTCGTTGGTTCCAATCCCAGAGACTGCCCAGAAAGTAAAACCTTTTCCTCTCCTGTAAGTCATTTTATATAACAGAGTCAGGTGGGAAACTGACAAGAAGCAGGCAGTTTTGTTAATGGGAATCCCCGATTAGTGCATTTTTTTCCCATCTCGCTTTCAAGGGAACTCCCTTTGCATTATGTATCAAGTATTTCACCAGGTGACCGCCGACACGAAAGAAACGTCGACACATAAGTTTTTAAGTTTTATTACATAATAAAATGTGTTGCGCTCAGAGAGCGTGTGAGGGTGGTATTAAATTTAACGTTGCTAGGTTATGAGGTGAGTCATCTCGGAATCGATCACAGGTCTGGACGCCTGCTTGAGGCTGGACAGGCCAGAGCCCGTTCAGTTAGCCCCCAGTGCTGGTTGGTTCCCCCCCACCCCTCGCCATCCGCATCCCAGCCACTGGCTAGCTGGTCACTCCTACTCAGCATTTTCCACACCCAATCCTGGGATGATGCTCTTCCGTCAGCTTATGTAGGACGGGACCAAAAAGGATGTAGGTTCGAGTCCTACATCCAAACCTGGAGCTAAAAATCTGGGCGAGGTACTTAATCTGTTACAACAAAAAATAAAGATACAAAAATGGGCTGCATTCAGTTTTATACAATACAAATAGCCGAAGATTAAAGCATTTTCCAAGTCATTAAATGCCTTTCTGAGAGGGTGAACATTCTGAACGTTCAGAGCTGGGGTTGCCAGATCTGGCTGTGGATATTGAGTAAAACGAGCGGGGACTTCAGTCAGCCGCAGCGAAGGGGTGCCTAGATTGCTCTGGAGCCTGATTCCGTGGCGGCCTCATTTTTTTCCAGACCGTTTATCGACTTGGGGGACCGGGGGGGGGGGGGGGGTCGGGGTTTCACCAGCGGGAGCGTGTTTCATATTGCTTCTGGGTATGCTGAGAGGTGAAAAACGAATTCTGACACATGGTTTCCCTGCAGAGGACCTGTGGTATTTCTGGAGTTTCTCTGCGCGTGTTTATAAGGACAGCCGATATTGTAATGCACTATATGCACTCTAATCCTGTACTCTTCATCTATTAGCAACGTACTGTTTAAAGGACATGATCAGATTTTATCTTTCAGTTCCATTGGACTTAATGTCTTTCCAGTTGACAACCTGAATTCAGTCTGGGTAAGGCTGTTTGCCAAAAATTAAATGTAAATATTATAAAATGTACTTATCTTTGGCTCAAGAGTAAAATGTAAATATCATTGTTTTATTGTTTAGGCAATAGCTTGGACCCTTTGTGGGGGTGACTCTGGACTTTCTGGGCCAGTGGCCATGAGCGGGCTACCTCCAGATCCTACCTTCACTGAGCGGGTCCAGCGTGTGGATCATCAGCTGGAAAATGCTGTTCCTCATCAGACTGTTATGTAGGGAGGCGGAGCTTCCTCCTCTCTGGAGGCGGGGCTTGGCCTGTGGTGGGAGGGGAGAGAGGGGGAGAGTGGATGCATCAGAAAAGGATGGAACTGCTCACCCAGCCACCCGGGGCCGAATTTGGCGGGGCAGGGGGGTTGGGCTAAAGTCACCAGGTTAGCTTGTATGGAATTCGGGCCTGTGCGTAAATCGGGCCTGTGCGTAAATATGGCCTGTGCGTAAATCGGGCCTGTGCGTAAATATGGCCTGTGCGTAAATCGGGCCTGTGTTGTAAATATGGCCTGTGTTGTAAATATGGCCTGTGCGTAAATCGGGCCTGTGCGTAAATCAGGCCTGTGCGTAAATCAGGCCTGTGCGTAAATCGGGCCTGTGCGTAAATATGGCCTGTGCGTAAATCGGGCCTGTGCATAAATCTTTCATTTGAATTGCTATCGGCCTTCACTTCTTGTGGTCCCTCTGTCTCTATTGTTGCCCAGTGTTTATTCAGACTCATATCCACAACCCCGCCCCCAGCTTCTCCCTCCCCATGTCTCCCCTAAGCTTCAAGGCGCCACTCTGAGAAAGGCGCCCCGTTCATACGGCGGCTGCCCTGTCAGCTCTCCTGCCTCTGATCCACCCCCCCCCCCAGCTATGAGCTTGGGTAGCCTTCATCAGTCCAAGCAGTCAGCATATGGCGAAGGCAATCTTGGGGGAAAAAAACGGCAACGTCCAGAAATAACTCCTTAATGGCCGCCTGTGATGGCATACGACGATTCGCCGCGCGCCGTAAATGAGATAAGCTGGAATTTCTGAGGCGCTAACAAGGTGACTCATCGTGAAAAAGAAGTTCTAAAGGCATGTGTGTGTGTGGTAAGGAGGATGGTCTTGGTATTTCAATTATAGAAAAAAAACAATCACGGAGCCACATAACAATACGGCACTTCAAAGGCACCACTGTCTGAGAGGTGCAACTACACGTTTAATTAGATCCTCTCTTAGATGACGTCACCGTCGCCTTGAGACAAGGTGAACCCACTCAAGCTAATGAAGGGTGAAAACAGGCAAAAAAAAAATATTAATGAAAAGCAGCAGTGGAACGTTTGAGGGCAATAGGTTTAACCTCAGCCTCATTCAACAACTTGGGCACCAAGGTGACCCCTTTGGCTACAGTAGCTGGGTGGACATGTTTGGGTACGGCGATGCTCTTAGTTGGGGGCGTGGCAAAGGGTACCCGGCAATGATGTCAGCTCCTCTGAACACGCCTGCCACTCTCTTTGCCCCCCCCCGCCCCCGGGGACATGTTGGTACAATCGGGAAAAGCCGTTAAGCGGCAGGGAACTCATTTTTGGTAGTTGGTGGTGTGGAAACACTGACTCGCTCTCCATTAATCCATCAGGACGACGTTGTTATGATTCCAAAGTGAATTTGTGGTTGTTTGAGCTCATGGCTTGCCTTTCATCCGCCTTTGAAAATTTATCGGTAATGTAATGTGGCTGTTTATTTATATACGGCGCTATTCACACTGACGGCCATAAATTATGGCAATTTTGCACATATGTTATTTCCTCCCGTATCACAGAATCGATATACAGCTCGTATATATAAATACAGCCACAATCTTTGACATTTGAATAGCGGGAGATAAAGACTAGCTGGCTATTAACACGCATCTCGAGAATTTGGATGTAAGGGGTATTCTGATTGGCAGAAATGGGGGGAACGGTTACGGTCAAGCTGAACGTTCAGCTGGATATTTCCACAGCACAACACACAGAAGGACAATGAACCACAGGGGGAAAGGACAGGACCTACCGACAGTTTGCTGCCGTCCTCTGCAGGCTCAGGGCTCACCTTGACATAGAGGAAGAGAGAGAAAGAGAGAGACAAGAGACAAAGAGTTGAAACGGACCTTAGACAGCTATGCAATCGCAGACAGACATACAGACAGACAGACAGGAGGATACAGGGCTGAGGGTCTGGACAGCCAACAGGGCGAAGGTGCTCTGCTCAGGGGCACCCAGGGGGTAGTCGTGTTAGGCATGCGCTGATGCATGCGCTGAGGCATGCGCTGAGGTATGCGCATGCAGAACCTGCAACCAATTACACGGCAACACCATTCATGGTGCTTATCTGACATTTGCTTGTAAACTCCATATCTGCATAAATATATGACTACAGGTTACAGGACTTTGAAATATCAAACTTTTGTAGCTTCGCGTCAAAGACATGCTATTGCAAGACCTTGTTGAGGTTGTGAGCAAGTGAATCATTTCAAACAAGGTGCATGGAATTTCCACTGCTGGTCTTACCATTCCTGACCACCAACACACTGTTTCATAAACTTGTAGTCTTGCTTGAGAAGCCCAGCAAAGCACTTAAAAGTCTATCAAGGTGATGATTCAAGATTGGCCGGCTATGCTTCATAACCAATCGCAAGCGCTGGCTGACACTGGCCCCACCCCCTGCTTGAAGCTTGAGTGGTTCCCAAACCGGGGGGCAGAGGTATTGCGGGGAGGGCGCACCAATGGGATAGCCTCAGGGGCATGTGCCACCTTAAAATAATCTCTTCACAGACTGGACGATTAAACAAATAAAGCAGCGCAACATTACAGTAACTAACAATAAATAAACCACTAACTTACGTGTACTATTAGAGCATTTATGTCATTTATTTAAACTTTATTTTACCAGGTAAATTAACTGAAAACCAGTTCTCACTGCTTTACTTGATATTCGGGAGAAATAGCAGATAACGCATCGGAACTTCCTGGGATACAAACGTCACGTTCTTCAGCCAATAAGGGCAAAGTTGTGTTGTCACGGACGCTGTTCCAGTTTGTTCAGCCGGCTGAGAGGTGCTGTAAAGTCGTCTTGCTCTTGCAAGGTTTTTGTACCATGTGACATGGTGACGCGTGACGACGTTTTGCAGCACCGGTCAAAAAATCTAACCATATCATGAAAAACGAGGTTTAAAATTTTCTACATGAAGTGCAGGGAGACTCAATTAATGGGTATGATTTAGTATTGTTTTGTACTATAGTATAGGCTGAAACCTGCGGTTATCATTAAAAACAAAATGCGGTAATCGTAAGACAAACTTTAATTCGTGTACGCCAATGAATATTAACAAGAATGTTAAATCTGCATTAGCATAATTTCAAACTTATGCTGGACTTTTATTTTTAATTGATTGCTCTTTTTTCTCCCACAGTGGAGAAATTGCACCATTTGTATTTTGTAATTGCATTTGTTTAGCTCAATTAGAAAAGGGAGTTGTATTTCAAATAAAATTTGAATCTCAACCTGTGTAGTTTGAATGGGGGGGCTCAATAATGTTCCTATCTAGAAAAGGGGGGCCCTGCAGAGAAAGTTTGGGGACCACTGGGCTAACACATCTTACTTCCATCTCTCTGGCTCGCCCAGATTACTCTAAGTTTGTGATGTGGCTTTAGGGGGTGCTGGCTTTTTTGGAAGGAGTTTAATTGTGTGTGTACGCATGTGACTGCATTTCCATGGAAAGTAAGGCCAAGCTCATGAAATCAAATCAAGTCTTTTACTTCCGGACCTGAAACGCTGAATAAACCAAACGGCAAACACCAATCAGTACATCAGTCCAAGCCAGAAACATTTATAATGAATAGATGAATGTCAGATGCTATTCACACCTTATGGCCACAGGGTCTCAATCTGTTGCTGGAGTAACGTCCATGCACCCTGTCACGCCCCGCCCCGTCCGATCCTCATGTGTGCCACGCCCACCTCGTTCCCTCGTGTTAACTCCTGATTGTACTCACCTGTTGCTCGTTACCCTCAGCTTGTCTTTTGTATTTAGTCCGTGTCTAAGTCAGTATTCCCCAGTTCTGTCATTAATGTTAGTAACCGTGTTGTCCTGCCCGTCTGGAATAAACCCGTGTTCTTCGTCTGCCTGCTTGATCATTTCCCCGCGTCCTGCCTGCTTGTCGGACAGCGATCGTAACACGCCCAAGCAAAGGCAGCAGCAGGCCAGATTTCACCATTGAAATGTCTAGACCATTTTATTATGTCACCATGAACAAGGCAAAGAGAACTAGTCTGCGATCCTAATAACACACATGAACTAATGCTGAACAGGAACAAATAATCATATGGAGATTGGATCCAAGCCCATCCCCCCATCCCCCTAATTATGCATCGCATTACGATTCTCTTTTATTTACTCAGCGTCTTACTGACCGAGGGGTAGATGTAGCGGCAATCCATCTGAAAAATTGATGTTTCAGATTTGTACATAAATTTATTCATAACCCCCATATATTCATACACAATTCTGCTTGCCTCCCGTGACAGCCTAGCAGATGGAGACTGAATGACTGGCCTTTTTATAAAAATCCTTATCAGGCCCGTTCTGCTGAATTTGCTCCCGGACAGAACGGCAGGTCCACACAAACCCGTAGAGATAGACAAGACTGCTTTTCTGCACCGATCCAGTATTTCACTGGCTTGGTCACATGGTTACGTTCATTGACTTACCTAGTGTGCTGTGTGTCAACTGAACACTGTTTTTTTAATGGTTTGTGGGGACGATGCACAGTAAGACGTGTGCACCGCAACATGCTTGGAGTCTAATCAGGCCAAGTGCAAAAAAAAAAAATCATTGCCACACAGATGACTAATGGTTAGATTGTGACTCACAGACACCTCACATCTTCAGTAATTTGCTTCATTCCATTTCTCCAGACTATTCCGGGAATATACGAGCACCTCCAGAAGAGATGTGAAAGAAAACAAAGACCAAAGCCTTCATGTTCCACCCATGTCCCGTTCCTTCTGTGTTTATAAATAAAATCACAAAAAAAACATTGTTTTTGGAGTCGGGGGTTGAAAATGTGCCTATTTTTGGTGCCCAAAATCATTTTGGGGACATCAAAATTAGTCAAATCGGAATCTTCGTCATCGAAAGAATGTTCTTTTAAGTGCTATCTTTCTGGCATTATTTACCTGCTATTTTTACTTGCTGTCATTGTCAGAGCTCTTACAGGCAGGCATCAAAATGCTCAGACAGACATGGAATCTGGCAGGATCTGTCTTACTGCCCAGTGTGGGTTAATGTACATGACATCATGCCATATTTTCAATGGTAATTAAACTAAACACATCCTGGCACTTTCAGATGTCGCTCATTGAGCCCCACCTGCTGTATCTGTATTCAGGACAGACACGGGGCTGGAAGTACATTGCCTAGTCAGGGGAATCTATCTGCCCCGTAACTGGAGAGAGGCAACACAGGAGCCTCTCAGGATGAGGGGGCAGAGCTAACATTAAATACATTGCAGTTAGAGATGCGTTTTGCTGGCCTGGGGGTTTCTGTAAGCGCACAGTTTTGGGTGTGTAAACACACTCAGTCATGCAAAGGCATAACTTTGGGTTGAGCACTGGGAGGGTTGAGATCTCCACCCATTTAAGGAGGTCCACGGGGTGGTTATTGGGGGGGGGTTCAATCCTCCATCCCCCCATAATTTATGTCCATGAATTCATGTGCAACATGCAACATTGCAGTAGTCAAAACACCTTAAATTGCAAAGACCATCGAATTGAACTGTTGTGGTTCTACCATGCAATTAGAACCTTAACACCACGATTCTCTGCACACAGTGTATAATGTCAAAAATTATGTGCTTGTTCATTGAGAAGCCGCAACCTTTTTAATGGAAATGAAGCCTTAGCATAATGAAAAGAACGATTATGGTCTGAGAGAAAGAACATTTCTACACACTGCATACAATGTGCTTGGAATACACCTTTTAAGGCTAATTTTACAGGATAATTGCAGAAAGAATAGCAACTTTTTCAAAGTACTTTGAACGTCTCAGCTGAGCGATTTTCACCGTTCTTCACATTCGGTGACGGCCTGGTGTTATTGTCACAGAAGTTATGGTCCATCAGGTTCATTAATGGAAAACGACCTGCGCCAATCGCCCTTTCTTTAAAAAGAAAACCGCACTGGACTGACGAGACAGACGCCATTGTACTTGCAATCAGCACTCGCCTAACGTTCTCACTAACCTGTACTTTAGGGTGGTCCACAAGACTATGATGAAAGTTCGACTTGATCAGAATCTGCCACCACAAGTCTGAAAATGTTCTACCTCATGTAGGTAAGAAAGGGTTCAAATTTGAACCAGTTTTGTGACAAATTCAGAGGTTGCTCAAAGTCCTACAATAATCCTCATAACGTGGCTGGTTCTTTGTGATGTTCCCTATTAGGTCAGTTTTGCTCTGATCAAGACACTGTGGTAATGTGATTAGAAATTGTTACTTACTTAACACTAAGTATTGGTTGGGTACTAGTGATGCTTAGAAATATCACATTAAAATAGCTATTCTTTAATGCTGTTGTTGCCAACAAAATGTGCATTGCGTCACACACTGAGGGACAAAGGACGTGGGAGCAGAGATGGAGCAAACAAATGGGGTTTATTTCAACCAAAAGACCTAACAGAAAGAAACAGGATCACTGGGGATCAAAACTGGGAGTACAGAACACAGCTAACAGGCCAGGCCATGGACAGGATTGACATTAATGCCAGGACTGGGGAGCATAGGACTGGGAAGCACTTTTAAACAAAGACTAATGAGGGAGCATAATGAGAGGCAGCTGGAGAAAATCACAGAAGGGCACAAACGACAGGGAAGATGTACACGTAATGGGCATGGTTCGTTAGGCCACGCTAAGGAGGAAACAGGAGGATTGGATGGGCAGCGCATGACATATTGTTAGTTGAATAATAACAAATACTAATACGGAACTGCAAAGAAGAAAGTTGGAATAGTGATAAACAAGCAGCTAAAAATAGGGGTTTTAACACATTTTA